AATTTTAATATAATTATATACAGTTATGTTGTATAATTATATAAAATTATTTTATGATATCTTATATCTTGTATTAATATGATGTTGACATAATTGAAATAATTTTTATTTAAGGTAATGGAAATTTATATTCTCGTTTGTATTTTTTAAATACACATCTTGTATCTCATATTAATATATAATGTGTTGGATATAATATAATTATAATTGAAATTTATATTTGCTTGTATCTTTTAAAAAAATTCACATTTAATATAAATTTATTTATAACTTTTTTTCGGAATATATACGACTTTTATATCACAAAGCTGACAAATTAACTTGTTAAATGTCCTTTATACGCTAGTCAACATCGTGCTAATATCGTCTACGACCTGCCAATGTCTATTTCGAAAATTCAGGCCGGAAGTATAAATTTTATTTCTCAAATAATTTCCTCGACGTGGGCTCGACAGGAGATCCTTTCATATGAAAATCTCGCAGCTGTCAAATCGTCGTAAAAATTCATGTCGCCGGGATGAACGGTGGCGTTAAAAACAACCCAATATTTTCAATGCGTCGCTTGTATGGGCCGTGCACGTTTGTCCCGTGCGATTCTCTATATCCACAGGGAGCTTCGAGCTCGCACGAATGAACGAGCGAGTGAGCGAGTACGCGAAATAAAAGCTAAAACGATAAAATGTCCGTCGTTGCCGTGTCGACTACTACAAAAGCAGCATAAAAGTTCCGTCCGGCGGGACTTAAAAAAGCGCTCCATTCTAAATTTTCAAAATAAAACACGACAGTAAATGCGCCGCGCAAAGATTCCGGATATATTTTAACATCTGTTTGCAATGAAATTTTGCATCTCCGCAAAAAAAAATATCCACTTAAAGTCCTGCATCCGGCTACTTACATCATTTTAACATGAATAAATTATCTTCAACTCTCTAGGAATAAACATTTAACGATAGAGAGAGATATGTGATAGAAATAAAAATACGAGAGATTTGCACATGCAGAACAAGAAATATCTATGACACAATTTAAAAATAATAAGATCAAATATTGTATGCTCTTAAGAAAAAAGATTATTGAGAAACCAGATTTTTTGCAAATTATATTCAAATCTGTAATACACATCAGGAAAAAAATAAAAGGCCATTCTGACCAATATTTTTTTATGTTCTTCTCGGCCCTTTCCGTGGTTTTCCTTTTGATCGATTAATCGTCAGCGAGCGTATTTTGGGTCGTTTACGTTCTGCGTTGGATGGGGAGAAAAGCACCACTCGACATTTCGGCCCGATAAATGGGGAGACCGGACACAGGGAAAATACCATCTCAATTTGATTCGATTAAACAGGAAATAGGCAGCGTGTATTTCCAATCTACGCGGTATATATTTGCAATTGATTAATCGGCCGACCACGAAGCCAAATTGTCTAAACGCCGGAATCTATTTTTCCAACGGGCGTGCGAATCACCGATTACAGGGCCGACTATTCAAATGCTGAAAACAACGATCGTCGAAACGCATATAGAACATTTACTCTAGAATCTAGTACCATATAATAATGCAATCAAAAATTTTTCGATCGAATATATACCCTTAACATATCTCACCTTGACGTTTGGGGATGACGGAATGATAAAGCAAATAATCAAAGTTTTCACGCAGCTTATTCACTTTCTAAAAGTGAATCAGTGTATTATCACTGAAAAACAGTAAATAGTCATTGATTACAGTAGTTATAAGTACAGCACTGTAAATCAGTGATATTTTATTGAAAGAATCAGTTAATAATTTTGACTATTTCAATCAGTAATATTTTTCAATATCAGTAATATTTCTTTCATTATTGTCAGTAATATTTAACTATAATTCATCTCTCTATCTATTTCATATAAAATTAAAAATTATTTTATTTATATTTACTAAATATTTATTATATTAAAAATTTTATTTTATTTATATTACATGCATATTGAACTTGTTATTTTAAATAGATAACGAACGAATAATTTTCATTAAGTCGCCAGACATTTTTATTTGTCCGATTTATAAAGATCGATTTAATATCTGAAGCCTCTCTATGAGATTGTATCAAAAATTAAATCGAAGTAATACTTTTAATTTTAAATGTCACTCTTTGCAAACTTTATATAATTCTTATAACTAAAATTAAATACAAGAGAGATAGCGATTGTAGCGGTAAATGAACGAACTAGCGATTACTGGTTTTACAGTGAAATTTACTGATTTTACAGTGAATTTTATTTTAACTGACCATAATCAGTGAGATATAAGATAAAATAACAAAAAATAAGCGTTTCCATTGAAAATCAGTAAAATACTCATTGATTCACAGTGAAATCTTATTTTACTGTTTAAATTAGTGATATTTTCACTGATTCACTTTTAGAGAGCATTTTATGATGTAATAATACGCACGTTTTACAATGAACAAGTAAGAATTGTATATATATATATATATATATATATATATATATATATATATAAAGAATCTCTTAAATGTAAAATATCATGAAATAGTAACCCGTAAGCACATGCAATATTTCGCTTTGCGCGAAATTCAATTTACGTTAACTGACGGGTCTTAAAACAAACAGACACTTTATGACTTATAGGAAAAAAAGAAAGATAGATAATAAAGCAAACATAAAATATATAATATTTTTCAAAAAAGTTTCTTCTACGAAAGAAGGAATGAAATATCAAAACGATATTTATAGTATTAAACGATATTTATAGTAAAAAACGATATTTATAGTATTTCTAATAAATACTTTAAAATTGAATGTATTGCAAAATAATATATGAAGAATGCACAACTATATATATGCCATACATTTTAAACGCGAGTATATTTTAATTACCAGAGTGCACTATTAATTTACATTTGCAATAATTTACACTTATAATCTCATCTGACCTTTTCATGATTTCCAACATTTTTAATAATTTACATTTATTTCTCTTATATTTATTATTTTACATTTTTACATATTTTTATTTCTGATGTCTATTCAATAAATATTCACTAATTGTAAGCTGAGATAAATGTCATCGTCGGACGAAATTAAATAGTCGTAGAGCTCCTTTCTTTAAATAGAATTGCACATATATGTATACATACATGTATACATATACATATATTGCATGCAGGAATGAAGTCGTATCGTAATCTGCATTGCCATAATCTTGAATAAATATTTGCTCCGTATTTAGCGTAGAGCGACTTTTCTATGTAACGTTATAATGGCAGGGAATTTTTAAGATGTATGCAAAGTACATGTAAGTTTATTTCCCTGCCGTATCGCGAAGGAGAAGTTACAAATTTTGCTAAACAGAAAATTTAACATTTTTAATATTTCCATGATACACATCCAGACTCTGTGTCTATCTTTGCATATATTTTACCGAATGTATGAATAATGTTTCTTTAGTAGCGTATTATTGGCGTAATGACAAAACATTTTTACTACAAAAATCTTACAAGCTACAAGATTAATGCTAATTATGCCATTTACATAAACTATATAGCCAAAATCCATATAAGATTATATTAATCGGAAAAGAGAAGGTATTGTGTATAATATTCATTGCTGTAACAATTTATTATGTTTAAGGAAATAAAATTTTGCTTCGACAAATAAATATTTTACATTGCCGGTAATTATATTTGAATAGCTGTTTGATGGAAAAATCTTTTAATTACAATTTCAGAATACTAGCGAGTTCGTTTAACGGCATAATTGCAATTTTATATTCAAATAATTGCAAAAGGGAAAATTGCATTTCTTTAAAATTATTGAATTTATTAAAGATATTTCGCGTCGCGAATTTGATGGATTTATAACGAATTTATCGTAAAGAATAATAGCATAATTATATATAAATTACATTTTTTTCATTCAACATGCAATATATTACTTATTGCATTAATAAATACTTTTAGTAATATTTATTCTAATAGATAAATTGTTCAATTGAATACATATTATCAATTGGCGATACATCGCGTTTAAACGACGAATTGGTCGTTACGCAATTAAATCACTCATTGGATTACAAAACGTTTCGTCAGCGCTGACAATGCCTGTGATATATCGAGTTTGCGAAATGGGTTAAGTGCACGAGCGACCAGTTTCATTCGCCTGATATAAAAACAATTAAATCGTCCTCGTCGCCCGCGTGTACACGTATTTCGAGGGAAAAATTGATATTCCGAAACATCTATCCACTTCGCGATGGACGGCGGCCTGACGATGAAACCCGAGATTTCAATGTTCAATCAAACTGCAAATGTACCCGACTCAAAATTTTGTTAAGCCTCGACATATATCGTCAGTCGCGTTACCGATGTTATATAGTCCAGATTAAAAAATGGTTATCGATACAAAGTGAATCAAATCCTATCGTAAAGAATAATATAGAACGGTTCCTGTAAAGAAAACAAAAAAAGTAAAGGGCCTAAAGGAGCAAATGATTTACAGTCAAATGAAATTAAAATAAATGTAATTAATAGAAAAAAATGTGTGAAATTATAAAGCTGTTCAACAAATGTAAATCTACAAACGTTTCTGTCCTAGTTCTGTCCTGGACGCTCTTCAGTGTGCGTAGTTAAATAAACAGTATAACAATATTTCTTAAAAATAAGACAAATTTCTTACTTTTAAGAAATATTGTTATACCGTTTATTTAACTACGCACACTGAAGAGCGTCCAGATTAGGACAGAAACGTTTGTAGATTTATATTTATTGAACAGCTTTATAATTTCACACATTTTTTAATTACATTTATTTTAATTTCATTTGACTCTAAATCATTTGCTCCTTTAGGCCCTTTACTTTATTTGTTTCCTATTGTAAAGATTTTTCCTATCTTTCGTCTCGTATTATCGATCCATTCGTATGTATCTGCATACATACATATAACTATCATTACTTCACTCATCAAGTAGTCTTGGAAACATAAAATAATAGACAATTTACATCATGAACGAAGAAATACACACAGAAAATGCGGAAGAAATATTGGCAGACGAAAAGATCCAAGAGGATGATACGAAGCGAGAACACAGATATGATGATGATTTTTTCGAAGTGGCACAATCTTTCGTTTCGGAAGAGGAAGAACCTTGCGAGGAAAAAGAATGGGAAGAAGTAGAAGACAAATTATGTAGGTTATAATTTTTTACATAATCTGACAACAATTTTGATCAATATATATTTTATAACATATATCTGTGCTATTAGTGATATTTCTTTATAAATGATATTTCTTTTAATTATCGGATTATATGTTAATTCAATTTTTTTCGATTTTTTTTAAATATTTACGATAAATTAAATAATTAAATAAATTAAATATACTCTCTAAAAGTGAATCAGTGTATTATCATTGAAAAACAGTAAATAGTCATTGATTACAGGAGTTATAAGTACAGCACTGTAAATCAGTGATATTTTATGGAAAGAATCAGTTAATAATTTTGACTGTTTCAGTCAATAATATTTCTCAATATCAGTAATATTTCTTTCGTTATTGTCAGTAATATTTAACTATAATTCATCTCTCTATCTATTTCATATAAAATTAAAAATTTTATTTATATTTACTAAATATTTATTATATTAAAAATTTTATTTTATTTATACTACATGCATATTGAACTTGTTATTTTAAATAGATAACGAACGAATAATTTTCATTAAGTCGCCATTTATTTGTCTGACTTATAAAGATCGATTTAATATTTGAAGCCTCTCTATTGAGCTTCTATCTAGAAATTAAATCGAAGTAATACTTCTAATTTTAAATGTCGCTCTTTGCAAACTTTATATTCTTATAACTTATAATTTAAACTTTATATTCTTATAACTTATAATTCTTATAACTAAAATTAAATACGAGAGAGATAGCGATTGTAGCGGTAAACGAACGAACCAGCGATTACTGGTTTTACAGTAAAATTTACTGATTTTACAGTGAATTTTATTTTAACTGATCATAATCAGTGAGATATAAAATAAAATAACAAAAAAATAAGCGTTTCCACTGAAGATCAATAAAATACTCACTGATTCTCAGTGAAATCTTATTTTACTGAGAAAACTGTTTAAATTAGTGATATTTTCACTGATTCACTTTTAGAGAGTACATAGAAGATAAAAAACATTACAGTTGTAATGCTTGTTATTTTTCTGTTTAGTTTACATACCTGCTGCTTTTTAAATTTGTATATGTAATATTAACATATTTTGCTGTATTTATTTAAAAATACAGATTTTTTAATGAAAATATTTGTGCTATTGAAAGTATACAACACGTTGCTTTGCCAAGAAGAATGTCGATAATGTCGAATATACTCAATATTGAAACTTTGTAACGAATGGGTTAAAATTATGTACCGAACGAAGATCGATGATGCGTATCGGATACATATGTCAGGTGGAAGTACGCACTGTGTTAACAATGAAACATAAACTTAGTCGACCATAAATACGTTCAAATATGAATGACGCGATTTAAAGCAGCGAGTACGAATAATAAAAGAGATTATGATTTATTTAAATGTATGAATCATGCAAATCTGATAAATATATCGATTGTTGTATCTAAATAATTTATTAAAATATAATGACTAGCTTTATTATTTTAATTCTATAGTATCTATTATTTTAAACATTAACAATCAAAAAGCTGTTAATATTTTACTATAACAGCATTGTTAATTTACTACCCTATTATATATATGTATGTATTATTTTAAAGAGTCAAAATTGTGTATCTTTTTATTTTCTAAAAATTGGATTATTTTGTCTATTTAATTATTCTCGCAGCTATTCAAGATTGGGAGAAGGAGGCAAAGAAGAAAGTTCATATAGAAATGGATGATCCGATGAGAAGACGGACGACTATCTACGATCTCGCTTCCTCTGGGCCGTCAGTGAATGACATTTGGAAATTTGACACGGCGCAGATAGCCGCAGAACCGAAGAAGAAAATTCGATATTCCGTGTCGATGGTGAATATTTCCATCGTAACAGCAGTTTATTCTATTTTCAAAATCTCACATCTCGTCTTTAATTGAATTGCTATGTTAAACGTAGAATTTTAAAGAGAATTATACATGAATAAGAAATTTATCATCACTTATCCCAGATATATCTCTAATTTAACATAATAAAACATTCATTACACAGGCCTGCAAAAAAGAGGATCAAAATTTCTTTTTAAGATGTAATAGTGATTTTTGATGTAATTTTGTGCGCTGAATCTGAATCTGGCCGCCGAATTTGCGTAGTACATCAGGTTTTTGAGTTATTTGTAGTTGAATAGCCAAAAAATCGCTATTTTGGCCAATTTCATAAATTTATTGTGAGGAAATCAAATTTTTTGAAATATTTCTGTCAATGGCATCGCGCGTATAGTACTCACCTTCATCTTTCGAATCCACTTTCGATTACCGCCGCACGATTTTTTTCGCTCAGATATACAAGTCATAAGACTGGTCATGCATAGGGATCTAATAAGCCATTCTAAATCAACCGTGCCACCTCTTTATTCCACGAATCAAACTACGAATCAAAATTAGGATAAAAATATACATTTTTAAACTTTCTGTCACCTTTTGAAATTAAAAATGGCGCATCCAATATGGCGAATAGAATCACAATAAAATGGCATAAAATTTAGAAAAATTTATCAAAATGTGTAACAACTGTATTAGACATTTCTTTACAATATTTTTTTGTAACCAACCGAACCTGACATATGTCAGACTTTTCAAATTTCAAGATCATCTCACCATATTAATGTCTATATAAATTTTCTTTAACGTAAATTTTTTTAGAATGTCATACTTATATATCTCAGCGAAGAAAAATCGTATGGCGGTAATCGAAAGTGGATTTGAAAGGCGAAAGTGAGTATTATACGATGCCATTGGTAGAAATATTCCAAAAAATTTGATTTCTTCGCAATAAATTCATGAAATTGCGATTTTTGAGCCATTCAATTATAAATTACTCAAAAACGTGACGTGCTACGCAAATTCGGCGGTCAGATTCGAACTCAGCTCATAAAATTACGTCGGAAATCACTATTGCATCTTAAAAAAAAAACCTCGTAGACCTGTGTTATTTAACATGAGTTCTCTCTTTCTCTAAGTTGTATGAAAATCGTCTTCTTGTATATATAAAGAAAAAGAGAAACATGTATCTTTATTAAATTATCTTTATTAAATTACATTTTGTTTGATTCCACCTCAGGGAATGTCGGGAATAGCGAGAATCGATTTGTCGCCGCTAACGCAGAAGATCGTCGGCTGTGTCATCGGCGAGAATGTTACCACGGAATATCCATGGGTATACGTTAGGAAAGATATCATCGAGGATAATATAGATCTGCATTCCGAGAGCAGCGACTTCCTACCGGTAAAGGACGAGATTCAAGAATATCCTGACGAACAGATTCTCATCGGCTACGCACCCTCCCTTTCCGAAGAGGGCCAATTTTACATTGTTCTCACCGAGGAAAGTAAAGATGCAATAATGAGGGCTATACAAACTCAAAAAGACGATCACGAGAATCGTGTGAGATACGCAATCTACAAGTCTCTTGGTAAATGGGACGATTTAGGAAGCGGTGCCGAGATCGACGAGTGTAGCGTCAAAAATACGAGACCGCTATTCGAGATTGAGGTTTGCAGAGATTAAAAAAGATCATGGCGGTTTAACGAGTCACAAAAAGAATCATGGCTGTTTAACGAGTCACAAAATTTTAATTCTTAGATATCAAATATAAATTGCTTAAATAATATTAAACAATCATTTGATCAATCTGCTACTTCCAATTTGAAATCAAATTAAATTAATTTAAAACATTTTTTAACTACATAAAGCTATACAATAAATTAGTAACAAATAATTGAAGAATTAAATAATGTAGTAATAGTCTAATTTAGTATTTTAAAAATTCGAAAAGATTATTTTTAAAATTGATAATTAACGCATACACATTTGAATTAATTTTTCAACAAGTTTTCAAAAACAAGTGGATTGGAAAAAACATAACTATATACTAAATTATTTATTTTATAAAATCATAAAGTAATGTTCATTGCAAATTATAAACAAAAATTAATAGAAAATGGAAGAATAATTTTTAAGAGTTAAGTTATCGAATATTGCAGCAAACTGCAAAAGTGTCAACAGTTGACAACTCGAATATATCTTTATGCTAATGTAGTTATCGTCGACTTTTCATTCTGCCTTCACCGAACTTTTTGCTCGCGATTTGCATGTCTGTTCGACTGAGTTCAAATTCACGCACCGTGTAACGTATTTTGGAATTTTTCAAAATTTCTATTACCTTTCGACAACACGCAACACAGCACGCGTGCTAACTAATGCGTCACTCGCGCGTGTGCAGAATGGATATTGATAGCTCGCGTATGTTAACTCTAACCCATGGTATTGAAGCGATTACCGTAAATTTCTACTAATCCCGTCTATAAATACTGCTCCAGTGAATCGACAATAATATCATACGGCGGCAAATTCATAAATTGTAATAAATTATTTATTAATCACTTTATCCTGTTTTCGATCGAGTGCAAGAAGTAGTTCATAAATCCCGCGATAGCATTATTTATTTGATTATATTTGAGCCGCGTAAATCGTACGACACGCATCGTCGATAAACAATCGAATCTCTTTTGCATTTAATTATCGTCAGGTGACGTCTACAACCGATTTGCTGAACGTGTCGATAAATCTGACGGACAGGAAGGCGGACGATCAGAGAGATGGATACATCGAGTTGCTGCCGTACCGGCAAATATTCGAAAATGTATGGCGTAAATTGGTAAGCAGGGCTACGCAAGTGATGCCAATCGTACAGCACAACGAGGCGCAAACGGCGCCATCGATACCCGTCAATTCCTGGTACCAATATCAGTATGAATACGAGACAGTCGATTTGTCTGCCTATACTGAAGACAAGATAGAGTCCTTGAAAGATTTCCTGGAACGTTATACCGACGATATGTGCAACCAAGTAATATATTACAAATAATATCCTCATGTTTTTAAGATTTTAAATAGTACGAAATTTTATTGTGTAAAATGTAATTTAATTAGATTAATTATTAAAATATATAACCAGTGTTTGCTGGTATCTAGATAAAATTATCTAGATAATCATCTAGATAAAGAAATGGATCTTCTTTATCTTTAACTAAATGAAGAAATACAAAGTATCTTTATCTTTATCTTAGATGAAAAATATATGTCATCTTATCTAAAAATTGTTTAAGATGACGTTTTCATTATGCAAAAAAGTTTTCCAGGCAAGCTTCTAAAAATCTATCTAAAATATCTAAAATATATTTTTTATATTATTATTATTAATATATTATAAATATATTATAAATATATTATAAATATAAATTAATAAATAAATATTTATCATATCATTTATATATCTTTTTGCTATTATTTCTTTATAATATTAAATATTATTTAGGAAAAGAGAAAGAATATGTGTTTATGATTTTAATATCCCATTTATAATCTGCGTCACATTTTTTACAAATATTTATAGTTTTCTAAAATAAACAAAAATATCTAGATAATTATCTAGATTATCGCAATAATTATCTCATTTTTCACCTAGATTAAGTAAAAGCAAAATCATCTTTATCTCATCTAAGATAAATTTACAGATTTTTATCTTTATCTTTAACATTTTTTGAGTAAAAACTTATAATCAGCTTAGCAATTATATATCTATTTTGCCCTTTTTAGATTTTAATGAATTCCACATGGGATATATATGCAAACGATTTTGCAAATTTAGTACATAATGAGAAGGACACGCAGGCACCAGTACCGATAGTTTACGAAGAACATCAGAGCTACTATGATGGAAAAATCATCGCGGATAAAGTTATCAATGATTTCTGCTGGCATCCGTTTTGGACCGGAACCGCGATAGCTACTTACACGCAATATGCCAAGAGCGAGCATCTGATCGGGCCAAAAACTTATGACGAGGTTTAACAATATTTTTCAAAGTTTTTCTTCTCTCTCAAAATATTTTATTTTTTATATTTTTACTATATTTTCTAAAATGCACAAAGAAGAAAGATTTTCTCACGAATAATAACGAAATAGTACATTTTATGCCTCAACAGTTAAGCAAATATTATTATTTATTATATATGTAAAAGAAATTTATATAATGTCACTTTTATTTATTAGAGAAATTTTACTAAGAATTTTTAAATATATCAATTAAATGATTTTATCGCAATAATAAAATTTGCTAGAGTTATATCAGTTTAACAATAAATACGTATTTTTATGAGCAAATCTATTTGCTAAAATTTAGTTTTGCTATTAAATGAAATAATTAAATTTATCAATTGCCGCGGATTATAACCCAAATTTACTTTTTCGCTTATAATTTGCTTCTAAAATTGTGCTACATCGGTTAATGTTAAAGAAAAATTTATTGTTAATATAGAATGTATTTTTATTATTATAAACGCGCGTGTAACGTAATATATAAATATCGTTTACTCTAAATAGCATATTTTTCTCAGGTATTTTTAGCTTGCGAACGCAATAATCGAATATTAATATGGTCCTTCACTGACTGTTTGTCGCCTAAATTAATTCTTGAATGTTCACGAGAGGTAACGTCTATTGCTGTCTGTCCTCTTGATGGTAGCATCATCATAGGCGGTTGTAAAAACGGTCAGGTAAATTTGATTAATCACGCATATTTTTAATAAGTTTTTTTAATAAGTTTTTTCTCTCTCAAAATATTTTATTTTTTATATATTTTGCTATATTTTTTCTTGATATCTAATATAAATAGAGGAAAAAGATTTTCTTATGAATAATACAAAATAGTATTTTATATGTCGCAACAATTAAGCAAATGTTATTATTTATTACATGTATAACAAAAAAATTTATATAATATTATTTTCATTTATTAGAGAAATTTTATTAATAATTATTTAAATACATATACTAATTAAATTGTTTTACCGCAATAATAAAATTTACTAGCGTTGTCTCAGTTTAGCAATAAATACATATTTTTATGAGCAAATCTATTTGACAAAGTTTTGCTCTTATATGAAATAATTAAATTATGATGACAAAGTTTGCCTTAACAAATATACTATCAAATATACTATGATGTAGCTATATTTAAACACATATGCAATGACAATAATAAAATATTTTTTCTGTATATATTTGACAAAATAATTTACTCAAGAAAAATATGAATATCTTTACAAATATTTTTCAGTAATATAATAATAGAATTAGAAAGAATATAGGGAAAAAATTAAAGAAATAATATCTGATGTGCGCAAATAGCGCGAATAAACACTTATTCCAATATCGTAGACAATCCCCTGTCTCGTTTAACTTATCGTCATGATCTCTCGCATTCGCTTGACTTACTCACGAAATACGTACATTCGTAAACAAATTCTTTCAACGCACGATAACATAATCGATATCAGTCATGAATATCGGAAAAACATTTCGCTATCGCGCATATATATCTCGAAACTCGTGATTTGGCACGTTTTAGGCCGACGTGAAAATTCGAGAAGTGACGCACACGCGTCCCGTCAATCATGACGGACGCGAGCAACGCAAATATCATATGCATGCGGATCATCTGTTCTCGTGAATTCGTCGTGACCGTCTCTCGCTGCTCCTCTTGTCACGATGCCTCTCGATGCTTTGGATATTAGATGGCACTCGCTCGTCGATCTGCCAAATACCGCAGAAACGCGCGTACCCGTGTAGAAAAAGTAATAAGTATAAGTTCAATAGTAATGAAGCAATTTACAATTTTACAATAAACAGAAAAATAAAAATTTTTATTGCGACGCCATCTATTTGTTTCTCTCTTTATCAGTTATTTTTAAATTATTTGTAATCTTTATACTGACCTTTCATTTTGATTTTCCTCATGAACACTTTACATTTCACATTTAACTTTGACTTGTACTTTTTTATTTTTCTGTTTATTGTAAATATTTATAATACACGATTCAATTCAAATAGACTGAGCTCTTAATGCCTCATTACTATTGAACTTATACTTTTAACAAAGAGCTTCTTACTTTATGTTTTAAAAGTAATAAGACCTTAAAAAGGACCTGATTAATATGCCTTAAAATTAATCGGGCCCTACTAGGTATAGAACGCTTGGACCCTACATGGCTCGTAACAAATGGTGTTTTAGGACCTGATAGGGAAATATTATCAGGACCCTATGTGGAAACACTATCGGAGTCTCATCAAAAAATTTTATATTGTCCGCATTTCGAAATTTCATAAATATTTATAGGATATGTAAACCAATATTCTGTAGATATCATACAACATTTAGTGAAGATATTTATATAGATATATTTACTATTATATATTGATATTTATTTCTACATTTATTCTATCTTCTATGATACATATATGAATTCGACTTAAAAAAAAAACCGTTTGCGGTTAATTTTTAGAGCTCTAAGGCTCCTCTCGCAAAAAATAGAAGAGATGCGAATATAACAGTCTTCGAGCTAATGCGCTTTTTGATAACACAGGCCTGCAAAAAAGGGGGTCAAAATTTCTTTTTAAGATGCAATAGTGATTTTTGACGTAATTTTGTGCGCTGAATCCGAATCTGGCCGCCGAATTTGCGTAGCACATTAAGTTTTTGAGTTATTTGTAGTTGAATAGCCCAAAAATCGCAATTTTGGCCAATTTCATGAATTTATTGTGAGTAAACCAAATTTTTTGAAATATTTTTGTCAATGGCATCGTATAGTACTCACTTTCATCTTTCGAATCCACTTTCGATTACCGTCGCACGATTTTTTTTCTCAGATATACAAGTTATAAGACTGGTCATGCATAGGGATTTAATAAACCATTCTAAATCAACCGTGCCACCTCTCTACGAATCAAAATTCTCACTACGAATCAAAATTAGGGTAAAAATATACATTTTTAAATACCTTCTGTCACCTTTTGAAATTAAAAATGGCGCATCCAATATGGCGAATAGAATCACAATAAAAAGGCATAAAATTTAGAAAAATTTATCAAAATGTGTAACAACTGTATTAGACATTTCTTTACAATATTTTTTTACCAACCGAACCTGACATATGTCAGTCTTTTCAAATTTCAAGATCATGGATCTACCATATTGATGTCTATATAAATTTTCTTTAACGTAAATTTTCTTACAACGTCATACTTATATATCTCAGCGAAAAAAAATCGTGCAGCGGTAATCGAAAGTGAATTTGAAAGGCGAAAGTGAGTATTATACGATGCCATTGGCAGAAATATTTCAAAAAATTTGGTTTTCTCGCAATGAATTCATGAAATTGGCGAAAATACCGATTTTTGAGCCATTCAATTACAAATTACTCAAAAACGTGACATGCAAATTTGGCGGCCAGATTCGAATTCAGCTCACAAAATTACGTCGGAAATCACTATTGCATCTTAAAAAGAAAAACCTCGCAGGCCTGTGTAATCCGTGATTCGCGAGACCTGTGCCGCGGCCTTATATACTGTCTTATTGTTAGATGGATTCTACTTTCGAGTTAGGTATTTTCCCTTTTACCTAGCGGCGACAGCCTGAGTTTCAAAATTAAGGCAACATTAGAAAATCCTTCTAAGGTCCTTGTAGATTAATACTAACAAAATCTTATTTTTTTAAAATGTCAAATATATATATATATATATATATATATATATATATATATTATATATATAACTTATATATATATAATATATATATATATATATAACATTTTAAATATATATATATATATATACATATATATTTAAAATGTTTTTATAACATCCTAATAAGTTTTACTTTTCACTATCTGCAATATTAAACTAAAGCGTTATTAACAAAAAATAATTAAGCTCTCTGTAAATTCAAAATTAAAGTGATTAAGTAGGTAGAGAGCTAAAGACCAATATCAATAATATAGAATAATATAGATTAAATTAAAGAATATATATATTAATAATTCATAATTACAAGTTTAGAAAAAACCAGATATAATACATATAGATATTTAAGATATGTGCGGACGTTTCGACTTATTTTTAAGTCATCTTCAGCGCAAAGTTTGTATCAAAAATAGAGCATTTCATAAAAAAGTTCGCAGAGAAAGTACGCAGTAAAAATATACGCAGAAAGAATATAAAATAATACTAATCTTAAAGAAGAAACATCTCCAAACGCTACGGTTGTTCATAGTTAATTGTAAACGGCTTACGATTTTTTCCATTTGAAGTGAAATCTCTCTCGTTTGGGTTAATTGGCCCAAAGTTGAGTATGGTTCCTTAGAAAGTATTGCCATGAGGAATAATGTTGAACATGTATGTCGTTAAAAGAATCTTTCTAATGGACAATTATATTAATAATTTAAAAAATTCTTATGTATCTCTTTCTCTTACGAAGGCAAGAATATAAGTGGAATAAAGCATTGTTAAAAGCAAAATTTTCTTGAGACTCTGATAAAACAGTATTAATGATCTTATTTTAAAAAAGTGTAGTATACTTAAATAATTCTTAAAAGGATCTAATGTATTCAATAGAACCTCAAATTAAACTGTAAATTAAACATCGGATAACTATTATAGTTTTTTTAATTATATGTCAATAGTAACATTTAATGAGGCTCCATATTGATGATGATAGAATATCCTTTTTTATGGCATCCTTACATTATCCTTATCAGGGCCAATGGTTTTATGTACTAACCCTAATAATTTTCTACACGAGTAACGGAAGATGGAACGGCGAATATATTGGATATGAATATTGAGAGACGCGTTAATCGCGATGCGCGCGCAATAATTAATATGTATGTCGATCGCCCGTCACTAGTTCGGCACTATCGATATCCACTGGTACTCGATATTCATCCGGGCTAAATGATGAAAAGACGCGTAAATTTCGGTAAACGTAACGTCGACTGTGCACACGCGCGGCAACGTCTAGCGTGAAGTGAGCGCTTTCAAAGTTTGATCACGTGACGCGTTCAACTTGGCGCGTTCGCGCGTAGCTGAAATGATTTTAGCGGCACGATGTCGCTATCGTGATATTTTACCGCGGAAATATGAAAATATGTAGATTATTTAATGATATGGTGAATCAATGTTGAATTAAGAATCATTCGATATTCGGAGAACTTTGCGCAAACACGCGTGTAATAAAAAAAGATTGTTGTCGCGAATGTTAAAACGATGGAGCGGTGGAACAAAACATGTGGAACGATGGATATCGATATATGAATCTCATAGAACTTGTATGTACTTAGAGAATCTGCATAATTTTTCTGTGTTCTTTTTCTGTTTTCTCTGGGGAATAAAATATTCATTTTTTGATTATCTTACCTTAATACTTTTATGTACAAAATAATGTGAGGAATCAATTGGTGTGAAGAAAAAACATAGTTGTTTTTAAGAAAAAATATGTAATTGTTTATTGCAAATTACATATTTTTTCTTAGAAACAATTGAATGAGAATTATCTTTATGAGAATGTTCTTAAAAACATTCTTAGGATGTAATTGTTAATTGCAAATTACATTTTTTTTCGAAACAATTATGTGTTTTCTTTACACCAATTGATTCTTCTCATTATTTTATATATAGAAGTATTAAGGGAAGATAATCGAAAAATAAATATTTTACAAGCTATTTTATGATTTATGTAAAATTAAGAAATAATTTCAAGCCTCATAACTTGGAAAATACTTAATGGAAATTAATTTAATTATAGTGTAGAAACTTAATTATAGTGTAGAAAGCTCTCGAGATGAGCTACAAGAATATGCAAAAGCATATAGGGTGTCCCATTTAAAAAGTTGGAGGTGATCTTCACGTGACTTTTAGGTGACTCTTCAAAGTCAAACTAATGGCATCATCTTATGTCCCCCTCGAAACCATATAACTTTTGTCTGAAACATTTTTTCGTATTTTTTAGACTTTACGAGATATTTCGATAGCAAAGGAATTTAAAATTGAACACTTTGTATATATATATATATATATATATTCTTTTTTTAATTTTATATTAATATTTATTATATTTTATTAATAATTTTTATATCGAAAAGAAATTGCAGTAAAATATTCGTTACTACAATCGTGAAATTCAAAAGTTTAAAGTGTGACGAAACGAGATGAAAAGAAGCAGTAAAAATCTATTCGTATCGTTATAGTAGATCGCCATCTGGCACATTCCTGGTAAAATTGAGCGGGTGGAATCGGTGATAGCTCAGACGGTTGCTCAAGTAAAGTACAGCATCGCGATGAAGAGTCTGATGACGTGGATGCACGAGACGACGGTAACATCGCTGATCAATCCAGTGGCATTGTCCTCGCTCAAGTATAGCCAGAAGGCAAGCATTACTCAGATAATATGGATGCCCTCATATCATAAGATTGATAAAAACGGTCAAATCTCGTCTTTGCCAGACGACGCGTCCTTCAACGATCTGAGTTGTCAATTCGTAACTGCCAGCGAGGATGGCACAATCGCCTTCTGGGATCTTAAGTAAATACAATTCTTACAATCTATCAGAATTTAATTTGTAATAATTTATTTATTAATAATTGTTATTAATAATTATTAATAATTTATTATTTAATACATATCTCTTGGTATCTTAAAATATAATGCATTGTTTTTAATTTTTGATAAATCTAAAATTACTTATGTAGAAAACAAAATTTTTAAGAATAAGATGTAGAGCAAAATAATTATAATAATAATTATAAAAAAATTGTATATAATATATATATATATATACACATATGCATGCGTGTGTATGTATATGTATTAAATAATATTAAGTAGTATTTATCTTTTTAATATTATGCATATATGATAAAGGGAATATTACGTATAAAACACTTTCCATAAATATAATCTATGATCTTTTATAATAATGAAAAGTAAGAAAAAAAGTAGCTTTACATTCTTCTCCATTACTAATATGGAGAATAACTTCTTCTATATCATAATTTATAAAATTTTTAGAAAAATAGATATTTTAATAAAACAAAAAAAATTTATACAAAAACATAGTATTATTTTTAACTACTACAGAAAATATATTTAATTATATTCAAATATATTTTTCTGTAGTAGTTAGAAATAACACTATGTATGAAAATATATTTTTAATATATATTTCAGTGTTTTTTTATTTTATATTTACAAAAGAATATTATTTATAGTCCTGCAAAAAGTAGCAAAAATATATTTAAAATAGTTTCATCAATTAAGAATTGAGATTGTTACAAATTAAAAATATATCATTTAGGTTATCATCAATGTTGATTCACTGAGTAAATTTTGCTTTTAACTACAAAGCTGCTTGACTCGCGAAAATAAAAATATGGCATATCTCAAAAAATATTTCCTACAGCTCGATAAAAAAAGAAGATTATTTTCTTTATTTTTCACTCGCGCAACTTTCTGATATTATCGCCCAGGCAAAAATGTCATGTCGTTTTTCTAAAAAATGTAAAAATAACCTACACGGTTGTGGCTAGCATCAGACGACCAGCAATTGATGACCAAGGGAAGGTCCCCATTCGTATCTCTCGAGACTAGAAGTTAGCGACTTTGAATGTTCCACGAGGGCGAAACTTGTCGCAAGCTAAACGTTAAAGAGCGAACACCGCCACCGTTCGACTTGCCTTTCGAGTCCTTCTCACCGGACGCGAGACGACGATTCGCTTTCCGCTTTCATCCTATCCCCGTGCCCATCCTTCCCAAGAAACTCCCCCGATCTACGGAACCGTAATGGTTCTGCGACTTGACTTGCTGCTGCTCCTCGTGATTCCTCCGAACTTGGCGTTTATATGGTCCGAAAATGGATAGACCATTCCTCTATAATCGTTGATCGGTATTCAACTCTCGCTCCTAATCCTTCCCGCGTCCTTTACCGTTCCAAATAGTCCTCAGAACCTGTCAACTATCTCCTTGCCCTCGTCCTTCTCTGTGTGCACCCACTGGGGTGCGAGGGAGAGTAGCTCTTCATTTCGAATGTGCCACAATGGCTATGTAGACGATCGCACACTAGTAAACTGTTTCCTCGCTTGGTACGAAATTGGTACGATATTTACGAGGTTACACCCTATTCTCAACGCTGAAGGAATGGAATACATCATAAAACTGCGTTGACAAAAATAAATTTTTCTATTCTAATAAAACATTAATAAAAATTTTATAATAAATTTAAAATGTAACCCTCGGCTGTTAAAACTTATCTTTTATACAAAATATTTAACGCATAGATATATACAAGACAAATCTCATATACACACGCCCATATAGGTATACAATAAGACACATATTATTAGGTGTATAATTAAGTTTCCGCCGTTATTTTACTTGAAAAATGTATTTATTTCAATAAAAAAATGAATTAATATATTAATCAAAATATAATTAATATATTAATCAAAATAATCTTTTGTTTTTTATGCCTTTCTCTCATCTTTTTTGCAAAAGTTGGATTTCGCGACGATAGAACGACTTGTTTTTTTTAAGCAATCCATTGATCAATGCATTTTTGGACTTCTTCGTATTTGGAGAAGTGTGTATCGGCGAGCATGTGTTGCATTGATAGGAAAAGATGATAATCCGATGAGGTCTGGAGAATAGACGGATGCGGGAGAACTTCGCATTCGAGCTTCAATAGTGTTTCTTTTACGATTCTTGCAACATGAGGTCGCGCGTTGTTATGCAAAAGAATCACTTTACGTTGATTACTGGCCTTTTTCGCATTAATTCATCATTCAATCAGTATAATTGTTGTTGATAGAGGACAGCCGTGACTGTTTCAGAAATCAATTGATGAGCTTCAGCTGCAGTTTTATTTAAATCAAAGCAGTGAAGAAGATGTCGAAAAAAACCACTTATCACGTTTAATTTTAAATCTCTTTCACAAAAAATAAATCTTTGCGCACTCAATTTTATTGACAAATGTCTTCACTACATTTGCAGCTGGAGCCATTTAATTATAAGCGGTGGGAACTTAGTTATACATCTAATATATAAAAAATAGATACGATAATCTATATATCTTTTAACAATTACACAGGTTTGCGAGGTTTTTCTTTTTAAGATGCAATAGTGATTTCCGACGTAATTTTGTGAGCTGAATTCGAATCTGGCCGCCGAATTTGTGTAGCATATCGCGTTTTTGAGTAATTTGTAATTGAATAGCTCAAAAATCGCTATTTTGGCCAATTTCATGAATTTCATTTATTGCGAGGAAACCAAATTTTTTGAAATATTTTTGCCAATGGCATCGTATAATACTCACTTTCGCCTTTCAAATCCACATTTCCAAAAATTTGGTTTCAAAAAATTTGGTTTACTCACAATAAATTCATGAAATCAATTCATTGAATAGTCCAAAAATAGCGATTTTTGGGCTATTCAACTACAAATAACTCAAAAACCTGACGTGCTATGCAAATTCGGCGGCCAGATTCGGATTCAGCGTACAAAATTACGTCAAAAATCACTATTGTATCTTAAAAAGAAATTTTGACCCTCTTTTTGCAGGCCTGTGTTATTCGTATTTTAACGTTATTTCATTGTAATAATGAGATAACGTTAAAATATTCTTGATGAACACATAATGTTTTATAAAAGATGGCGACCTTCAGAAAAGGATATTCGACAAGTTCGTAGCAAGCGAAAGAAAAAAACCCAACCAGATATCCAGAAATCGATGACGCAGCCTGAGTCGCCCTTTAAGATTCTCGATCGCATCTTGAAACCCGATTACATCCTCGTGATTCAATATCCGGATGAGAGCCGGCAGCTCGTGATAACAACGCTCAGCATGTACAATCCGAAGTTTCGCAAAGACCAAATCGAACCATTCTCAGCGAGGGACGACATTACAATTAGAAAGTACTATAGACCCATAATCGAGAAGCCAGACTACATCATGGAGCCAAAGCTGCTCGTCGGAACCGTCGAAGGTGAATGACCTCGTGTAATATTTCTTTAGACAATGAAATATATAATAATCCTATAATAATATATTATAGGAGATCATTCGCCTTCCTTTCCATTGACAGCGATTAGATTTCCTGTCGCCATCCACATATAGAGACACGATTATATCCCCAAATTTTCACTAATATTAATGCAATTAGTAGAGTAATGCAATTAAAATCCTATTAATTAAACTTACCATTAATTATATTCAAAATCCACTTAAATAAGATTGATCTAATTTAATAATATCAATGGATTAAAGCGTGAATTATGGCAACAGGTGATTTCGGTTGCATAACATGGAGTGGCTACGAATTCGCCACCGATGTTAGTGTGAATCGGGAAACGGCACGATGGCTCTGGATAAAGAGGACACACGACGGGCCGGTGATGCACTCGGTTAGATCCAATTATTATCATCAAGTGGTGGTCACGATAGGCGGCAAGATTTTCGCTGTATGGAGAGATGATTTCGGCGAGCCGCTCATTTGGAAGAAGTCCAATGTCAGGTGAGAGTAATTAAACGGAGTGAAGCAATCCGGGCACTTTCGCTTCAAAGTAAAGTTCGCTTGGATACTAACAAGGAGACTTACGGAAGTGTAACTCACCGATTTTAATGAAACTTTGCACACTTGTAGAACATCGAAAAATAATCGACATTTTTTTATTTCGGCAATGATGCGGGTTTTAAAGGTAGAAACCACCCTTTGAACGTTAGGAGTGGTCTCCAAGCATAGACAGAAAACAATCATTTAATTTAGAAAAAAAAACTATACTTCTAGGGAGGTTTTAGTACAGCTGATTCCGAATCTGACGTCAAAATTACAAAATTCAATATGGCGATTCTCTCAGCATCTCATGAAGGGTGGTTTTTAAAATAGAAATCAGAAAATATTACATAAATAAATTAATAGAAAAAATGCTTTGAAAGCTTCTCATCTAAAAAATTTTTTCTAAATAACAACGTATGAAAGTTATTAGTGGGTAATTGAATATTTAATCATTTTTCTTTTTTTATATGCATTTATATGAAAGTAAATTAAATCGGTCGTTTTTATAATTGAAGTTTGACAGTTTGGCAACATAGTTATTAGGTCTTTAGATACTTGTGTTGAGCTTGATTGCCAAAGGCAGCGATAAAATTATTTTAGTTAATGATATATTTTTCCAGATATTTTTGAGATGTTTTTTTATAAGAGTTTATATACATACATTATAGAAGTAATTTTATTTATTTTAACCTATTAAGTTTGCCAGTTGTTTACTTGAGCTATATTTATGTGAAACACGAATTCTACACATTTTATTCAATTAATTTTAGAGTGCAGCATTGTCTAATGCATTTTTATTTGCATTTTTATCATTAGATAAATTTATCCAAAATTAAGTGTCATACTTTTTGTTACACAAAATATTTTTACACCGGTTGTTATTAGATATAAATCTTCCCGCTTCTTATCCTTGTTCCCTAATAGCGTTGATCGAAGTTGGTAATGATAACTGTGAGAGCTGCATTCGGCAGTCCAATCCCCATTCTTCAAGTACTTAAATTTAAAAGTTTTATAAACTACTTGCTGTGAAATTTAATTTCGGTAGATGTTTTTCTCGTAAAACATCATATTTTTTCATCATTATATTAAACATCACATTATATTTTTTGTTTTTTTTTATTTCTTTCTTTTGTTTGTACAATATGTTAATATAAATAAGCACCCCGAATAGTGAGAGGCGAGGGGACTCACTATAAATAAGCACCCCGAATAGTAAGAGGTGAAGAGACTCACTTTAATCAAGCATCCCGTTAAAATAAGTACAGAAAGGGGTTTAAAATTGGTCTACAATCTTCTTGCAGTAAACCCTGAAAACTATAATTTTTATTGGTTAACTGCAGAGCATTTTAAACCAGAAGAATTTTTGTAATTTTAATCGCCATATTGGATCCGCCATTTTGAATTTTGTAATTTTGACGTCAGATTCGGAATCAGCTGTATTAAAACCTCCCTAGAAGTATTTTTTCTTCTAAATTAAATGATTGTTTTCTGTCTATGCTTGGAGATCACCCCTAAAGTTCAAAGGGTGGTTTCTACTCTTAAACCCGCATCATTGCCGAAATAAAAAAATACGTGTCGATTATTTTTCGATGTTCTACAAGTGTGCAAAGTTTCATTAAAATCGGTGAGTTATACTTCCGTAAGTCTTCTTGTAAGTAATCTTTCGAATATAAAATGTAACACTGAAAATGAGCAAAACCGATGTGCTAAAATTAATATTTTTATTTATGTATTTACTGTATTAATATATTAATTTAATACAAAGACCTAACAATATGGCTCTTTAAAACCATATGTCTTTTATCAAGTGATTTTCACCGGGTATACAAAGAGGAAAATTAATTGTTATTAGTAGATAAAATTCAAGAGAGAGAAAGAGTTAAAACAATCACGGACGTGCGATATCGTGAGAATTACGAGTCGAGAAATTATTCTTACAAGGGAGAAGCGTCGATAGCGCGAGAATTGGCGAAACATGAATATATATAAGCGCGGTATGACAGGCCTTTTATTAGCGATAAAAATAACGAGCAATCCTTTTCCCTCGTCCCTTCATGCGCGATAAATTGCCACAATGCACAGTGCGTAATTACAGTTTAGCGTTTCGTATTGCCCAGTACAAACTTGCTTGCGCTTCACGTTCCGCGCATAGTTTTCGGCACATCGAACTTTCGATATGATCTGCGTAACAATATGACCATAACTTATAATACGTTCATGTATTATTACTAGGTCTGTTGATGAAAACTATTTTCAATATATACATATGTACATGCGATCGTAAGAGTTGTTATCGAGTATTGTCGAACTATAACTCTTACAAGTCTAATGTTTATGAGAATCTTTTCACATGTTTAGCTCACAAATTAGTTTTCATATATAACATATTATTATAACAAAAAATGGAATATTTTATTAAATTATATATAAAAAAATTACATGAAAATAAAATATTATATATAAAATATTTATTACATTAAACAAAAATTATATAACACACACACACACACACACACACACACACACACACACACATATACAAGGGTGTCCCATTTTAATGTCCCACCCCAAATAACTTTCTTATTTTTAATTTTAAAAAAAGATGTTTCAAACAAAAGTTGTATGGTTTCAAAGGGGACATAAGGTGATGTTATTAGTTTGACCTTGAATAGTTGCTTCAAAGTCACGTAAAAGTCACCTTCAATTTTTTAAATGAAATTCTTCACTTTGTATTACATATTCTTGTAGCTTATTTCGAGAGCTTTCCAAAACACTATAATTAAGTTAGTTTTCTTTAAGTACTTTTCAAGTTATGAGGCTTGAAATCATTTTTTAATTTTACATAAACCGTAAAATATCTTGTGTAATATTCATTTTCCGATTATCTTACCTTAATACTTTTATGTACAAAATAATGAGAGAATCAATTCGTATAAAGAAAATACATAGTTGTTTGTAAGAAAAAATATGTAATTTGCAATTAACAATTCCATATTTTTTCTTAAAAACAACTGTATGTTTTCTTTACACCAATTGATCCTCTCATTATTTTGTGCATAAAAGTATTAAGGTAAGATAATCGAAAAATGAATATTTTATAAGATATTTTAAGGTTTATGTAAAATTAAGAAATTATTTCAAGCCTCATAACTCGGAAAATACTTAATGAAAACTAACTTAATTATAGCGTTTTGGAAAGCTCTTGAAGCAAGTTATAAGAATATGTGAAGTCATATAGGGTGTTCTATTTAAAAAAATTAAAGTGACCTTCACGTGACCTTCAAATGATTCTTCAAGGTCAAACCAATGATACCATCTTATGGCGCCCTCGAAACCATACAACTTTTGTCTGAAACATCTTTTTCTAAAATTAAAAATAAGAAAGTTATTTACGGTGAGACATTAATGGGACACTGTGTATATAGGTATATACAGGGTGTCAATTAAGTCCCGGGACGGCTGAATATTTTCTCATGTAAGGTATTTTTGAAAAAGGTCAAGGTCATTTCTGAAGTAATTTTCAATGAGGAATTCAACGGTGACCTTCAATTTGACCTTGAGCTTGACCTTCAAGGTTATTTGAAGGTCAAAGTGTTTTTTTTAAATAGGAACCCCTATTTTTGATTGTATATTCTTATAGCTGACCTCGAGAGCTTTCCAAAACACTATAATAAAATATTTTTCCCTCAAGCATTTATCGAGTTATGATGCTTCAAATCATTTCTTAATTTTACATAAACCGTAAAATATCTTGTAAAATATTCACTTTTTGATTATTTTACCTTAATACTTTTATGTACAAAATAATGAGAGGAATCAATTGGCGTAAAGAAAACATATAGTTGTTTTTAAGAAAAAATATGTAATTTGCAATTAACAATTCCATATTTTTTCTTAAAAACAACTATATGTTTTCTTTACGCCAATTGATTCCTCTCATTATTTTGTACATAAAAGTATGAAGGTAAAATAATCGAAAAGTGAATATTTTACAAGATATTTTACGGTTTATGTAAAATTAAGAAATGATTTGAAGCATCATAACTCGATAAATGCTTGAGGGAAAAATATTTTATTATAGTGTTTTGGAAAGCTCTCGAGGTCAGCTATAAGAATATACAATCAAAAATAGGGGTTCCTATTTAAAAAAAACACTTTGACCTTCAAATAACCTTGAAGGTCAAGCTCAAGGTCAAATTGAAGGTCACCGTTGAATTCCTCGTTGAAAATTACTTCAGAAATGACCTTGACCTTTTTCAAAAATACCTTACATGAGAAAATATTCAGCCGTCCCGGGACTTAATTGACACCCTGTATATATAAGACAGAAAGTGACAAGAGCGCGACTGTCACCTCTATTGTCGCTTTTTATCAAATAGATACACGGCATGTTCTTGGGGAATTTTGCGGCCGACCATTTTGATTCTGGGAAGAATGGATGGAACCATAGAAATCTGGGACTTGGTGGTCAAGAGCCATGAACCGAGTTTTGTGCAAAGTTTGTCCGGACGGATAATTACAGGCATCTATACGCACGAACTGCCCCTTGAACCGCAATGTATCGGTTTTTGCGATTTCAACGGCTCCCTAAGAATATTTACGGCGCCGCGTGTCTTACTGACGTACGACGTGAGTGACGTCGAATGGATGAAAAAATTCATTGATCGACAGGTTCAAAGGGTAAAAAGAGAGATATCGACATATATACATCAAGTGATATCGATTAGATGTCTGAGCGAAAATATCTCTAAGAAATTTATTTCTCAGTGAATATAACTTTATGGAGAAGAAGAAATTGCACATACACACATTGCATAAAGAGTCAATATAATATATATATATATATATATATATATATATATATATATATATATATATACATATATATATATATATATATATATATATATATATAATTACACCAATTATCAAAAATATAATTATTATTGTTGTAACAGATACTGTAATTATATAATTAATTGTTTATTAATTATAATATACAAGCAGTGATATGTATGTAATATCTTCCGACTCCATTTCATGTAATATACAGAACAAAATAACATTTGGATCTCCACGCGATTCATAAAACTTTACATTTCTATGAAAATATATCCGATCTCAGTGACCGGATAGAGAAAAATTTTTATTGTATTGTTTATAGTGATTCGCCCTAAATTTAACTGTCTCAACTGATAATAAAATTTCTTTGTTTCTTTTCATAATCATAAACGATTTTCTATTTCCGCGTACGATCAGATAAGCGAGTTTAAAGCGTGGCAGAAAACGTGGCGCGAAACAAATCGTGAGGATATTGAGATGAAAAAAAAAGATAAAATGGCAGAGGTGAAAAAACGTTTGGAGGCTGAGGAGCGGATTAAAACTGATACGATCGAAACAGTTCGCGCAACTACTCCTACGAGAACCACAGTACGATTTGACATACTACATATTAATAAATAATTCCATCATTTTCAAATTTTATTCATGTATAATCAGTGTTTGTTGGTATCTAGATAAAATTATCTAGATAATTATCTAGATAAAGAAATGGATCATCTTTATCTTTAACTAGATGAAGAAATACAAAGTATCTTTATCTTTACCTTAGATAAAAAATTTGTCATCTTATCTCAAAATTGTCTAAGATGATGTTTTCATTATGCAAAAGAGTTTTCCAGGCAAGCTTCTAAAAATCTAAAATATATTTTTTATTTGGAAAATAATATTACAAATATACTTTATCTTGTACTTGTTTTACTTAAATTTGTGCAATGCATTAATGTATATTTTATAAAAATGATATATGTATTGTTACACATTGATTATTATATTATT